CCAGCGCGGAGGCGTGCTGGACGGCTTTAAGGAGTTAGGGGCTGGGAGAACCTGGTCTGCAATCTCAGAGCTGCCATTAACGGATGCCATGACCTTGGACTTCTACGTCAATCGTCCTTATTTTAATTTTTATCTAAGTAAACTTTTATCTCAATGTTTTCCTCCCTGAATCTGAAGGTCTTGTCATGTTTACCTTCTTGGATTGTCGAAAGGGTAAACTGATGATATTGCTGGTTTTCCTTGTTCATAATGTGACGACACGGGGCCCCAGGGTGCAGTGACCACCCAGCTCTGGTCGAACTGTTTGTATTCAAGCCCCAGCTCTTCTACCTGCCACGTGACTTAAAGCAACTCACTTGACCTCTCTGTGCATCGACTCCTTCACCTGTCACGTGAAGTATCAATTGCACAGGGTCCACAATCTAAACCTCTGGAAGCTCTAAGCCCGCGGACCGAAGGCGAGCAAGTGCTCACACTCACACCTCGTCCGACGCCCACGTGCCACCAGGTGGCTCCTAACTGAACACTTCCCCGCTGCCACATACGCCTGCCTCCCGGGCAGCAGGACGCGGCCATGAGACAGATGCAGCAGCAAATAGGGGCTTGGGAGGCCGTCACTACGAAGAGAGACCTGAAGAAAGTGTGACCATCAGCCGAGCAGACCATCTCAAGGACGAGCCTTCCAGAAAGAGCCAAAAGCCAAGGCGAAGTTCTCAGAGGAAAGTGGAACTTGCTGCATAGATCGGAGCAGCTTCGCTTACTGGTTCACCGGGATTCCAGCGGGGCTGGTCTGAGCGTCCACCGTGCCACTGCCAGGATCGGGTAACAGGGGGTGGCGGCTTCGGGCACCGTGGACACGTAATCGGAAACGTGGCAAGTCACGAGAAATGGCCAGAGTCACTACGCATTTTACAGCAGGTCCGACAGGAGCAGCGAACGGCCTGGAAACGTAGGGCGAAGGTGACGGCCATGTCGGGGGTGACACTGAGCCTTCAGCCTGAGCGGGGGGGCTGGGTCAACGCCAGGGTCAACGCCAGGGTCAACGCCAGCACCACCCGAGCCCGTGGCCGGGACAGGGCAGCGGGGGGAGCAGAGCCCGGCTCGGGGCGGCTGAGCTGGGGCGTCTGCCGAGCACCCGAGCAGAGGCGCTGAGTGTGCGAGTGTGGAACTCGGGGGGGACCTGAGCCCGTGAGAAAGTGTGTAAGTGGGCGGCAAACAGGTGCCGTTTACAACCACGGGGCTCGATGGGGCCGTCACAGACGCGGTGGAAACCCACAAACGCCTTCCCATCCCGAGGGACCGGTGTGCGGGAACTCTCAACATCGATCCTGCCATCAAAGGGCACATCGCCCTTGTCCACCGATCATCGCCAGCACCGCAGGGGGCGGGCGGCCAGCGTCCTACGACGCCCTCTGCAGAGCCGGGATCCACGAGCGACGCTTCGCTGTGACCGGGAGTGGCGGAACTACTATTTTACGGGGAAACCTTTGCATGAGTTTGCAGATTCTCCCCTGGGAATCTTATTATTCATTCTTTAGATCCGCTAGACAGACACTGTCCGTAGTTTCCTCCTGAGGTAGCTAAGACCAGGTAAAAACGGCCCCTCACACAGAACTGGCATTTTTCGCTCTTATGCAAAAAATACATAAGCTGCGTCTTTCTGGACTGCAGCTGCCATTGGACTAGTTGGTCGAGCGGCCGAGTGCCAGCTCTCTGCGGGCCGACCGCCTGACCTCCGGTCCCCTCCGCCAGTCACCAGCTGTGGGGCATTGAGAAGTTACTTAACTTCTACGCATCTCCGCTTCCTTCTCTGTAAAATGAGGAGACAGTGGTAGCCACTGTGGCTGAAAAAGGAAGAAGCTGAATATCTTATCCAAGACACTGAGAATAGTGGCTGGCCGTGTGTTAGGTCCTACATAAATTTTTAACTATCATGATTAGTAGCACTATTAATGGACAATATTTATGGAAATTTTACTGTTCCAGGCATTGTTTTAAGCAGTTTACAGAGATGATTTCCTTTAGCCCTCTAGGTTATAAAACGTATTCTGTTGTTATCTCTATTTTATTAATGGGATGAATGAAAAGTGGAAAAATTATGAATGACTTTTCGCACCTTGGACTTTTTCTTACAGTTGTCTCTCCACTAATTACTGGGCTTTCGTTATTGAAACTCCATGAGTTGTATAATCTTGTTAGAAAAAACTTCAACATGTCGTCAATGAAAATTAAGGTGAAATTCCAAAAGCGTCGTTTTAAAACTTCAAAGATTCCTTATAATCGCTCCTTCGAGCATTAGACATTTTCGCTACGTCGTCGACGGAGAGCATGTGATGGATAATACGAGAAACGGAGAGCCGGGCTTCAGGACGTGCGGGTTCCGCTGGCGGCTGAGGGACTGTCAGATGGTCTGCGTCAAGCTGCTCAAGCTCCCGGTCGCCACGACCCAGGACGCCAGCGCGGACCCTGCGAGGAGCGGTCCACACACCGCGCCCTCTGTGGAGCGTCCGTCCCTGGGAGGAGCACAGGCTGGGACGCGGGCTCAGCGACGAGGCCGGCTGACGTCGGGCCTGGCTCCTCGTCGCCCAGACCAGCGGGAACGAGTAGCTGAGAGCTGCCACACCAGTCGTCCACCCGTGGACCCCACTTTGAGTGACACTGCCCTTGACCTTCGCACCATCGTGTAGAAGGGGGAACAGTGGGCTCACCCGCCGTTAGGCGCGATGTCTTCCGTTTGCAACGATCTGTGTGTAATGCCCCAGCTGCCGTGGTACTGATGAGAGCAGGCTAAGTCAAGTGCAAGTCGTAGACCTCACCCTGACTGCTTCAGAGTGAGATCCGGCACACGTCCCGCAGCACCGCACCCACGGCGTGGAGCCACCAAGGCCACCGCCGTCCGGGGAGGAAGATGCAGCTTGGCAAACTCGCGGCCACCAGCCGAGTCGGCGGCAGGAAGCCGTCCCCCCGTCTGCCCGGTTCTGTGCGTCCCACGGCTGCTCGCGCCATTCACAAGGCACTCGTCCTCCTCGGCTCCCCGGTCCTGCTCACCGCGTACCGTAGCCGCGAGTCGTTGGGAGGGAGCGTGGCTTCGCCATCAGGAAGGAGGTACGGGGGAGAAGAGATGCAACCTTCTCCACACTGACCCCTCCTTGGAAAAGGAAGTGACTTACCTCGTTGGCGCGACTGGCGGATGATGACAAAGCCGCAGTCCCAGTCCCCCTGGGGGGGACGCTTGCCCACTCCACTGTCCTCTCGTGTCCGCCCCCACCGCCCGCTCCCCTTCACACCAACCAGGAGACCCCATGGAGCCGCCTCGCGTGGGATCAGAATGGCCATCATCGCATCCGGTCAGAAAAGTCTGACTCCACCACGACAGAGAATTTGATGTCGAAAAAGCATCACAACCATGTGGAAGGACGAAGGAGCCAAACGGGTCCCACGAAGCAGCAGAAAGGAAGCGGAACGGAAGCTGCCACTGTCCAGCTGGAAGAACGGTCCCTGGCCGGGCCGCCGCCAAGGAGGCTCCGTCTGGCCCGGCCCGGCCTAGGAGAGGACACGGCCCCGGCCGGAGACGCCCCGCGGCCGGAGAGGAGGAAGCGCACTGCGTCGTCCCTCCCCGCTCAGCCTCTGAGCCTCCCACCGCTAAACCCCGTCAAAAGCAGGTCCGTGGGAAGGGAGGGACCCAGAAATCTTGAGCATCCCTTGAGATGCGAGAGAAATCAGAAATATTCCGAAGAACTTTGCCACGTGGTTTAGGCTTTCTGAGAACTAGACGAAATGGGCGTATTTGGGAATGAGCGGAGAAAATTTAAGCTGACACCTGCGTGTCATTTCTGCAATGAGATTGCACAGTGTCATGTGGGCACGCCCGGGCTTCAGGGCGAGGACACGCACCTACGCAAATGAGTTTTCTCTTTCTAATCTGATGCTTATAATTTACTACATTTAAAAAAAAAACCAGCAGAAACTCAGTCTCAGTCGACTCAGCTTGTAGACTGCGAGCCTCTTCCAGGATGGTCTCGTCCCTGTCTCTGCTTGAAGACAGACACCAGAACGATCCGGTCCTGGCCGGCAGGACTTCACTGAGGATGGCGCAAAGCGACCCACACAGCCCTGCGTTCTGAGGGCTCCCGGCTCCCCCTCCTCGCCCTGCAGTGGGGGCGCTTGGTCACGTGCCGGAGCTGCACGGACTGCAGTCTCCCACGGGTCCCCAGCTGCCATGGTCGCGTCCTCAAGTCCCACACCAGCCTCCCACCTCTGCCAGTTCTAAAACTCAGGCTCATTTTTCTCCCTCCTCACTCTGAGTAAATGAAATGGGCTTAAAACAGTATGTGGATCATACGCCAAGGAGAATGGAGACGGGCAGTCCAGGTCTAAATCCGCGTGTCCCGGTGTCTGCTGAGACCAGCCCCCCAGCTCATGTCTCGTCGGCCACACGTCCACCGTGACTTTTCTCCACGCGACCGCGAGATTCTCCAGCATGTCATGGCGTCCCTTCTCTACCCCGAGGAAAGAGAACAGGGGAAGGATGAGGAAAGGAAATGGGCAACGAACTCGAGAAAAACTAGGTGGAGACGGTTTTTCGAAAACCTTATCTTGAGAGCCACACCTCACGACATCTGCTTGCATCTGTCAAAATGGGATGGGGTGACTGCTCTACTTTTACTTTTGATGGGGTTAGAAAAATTATGGGGGCA